TTTTTTTTTTTTTTTTTTTTTTTTTTTTTTTTTTTTACGAAGAGCAAACAACGGATCTACGAAATATTTTTCCCTTTCTTTTTTACGAAGATGAAACAAAAAAACAACGCATCATATCGTCTAATTAACTTAAACGAAAAAAAAAAGAACAAAAAAAGATACGACGAAACTTCGACACTCGTTTTATGCAAGTTCGAGTATAATTAATAATCTAAAACGTTCTAAGAAGCTACGTTTAAAGGTATGTCTTTTTATAATATAACAACTGAATTAAGTTACTAAAGCGCGGGCGCGATTACACATGGAACACGCGCGAATCGTTCAAGCAGCAGCAGCGTTCACTTCCGTTCTCGAAGTTGTTAGTAATTGGAAACAACGTGGTGAAGTCTGCCAGCGAAGAAAATTTATCATAAATAACTCGCGGGGACTGAGATTAAAAATGAAAAAAGAAAAAAAGAGAACAAAAAGCGCAGGTAACGATGCACGATAAAATTTCAGTAAAAATACAACACGGACATTACACATTCCTCTTCTCCACTCGACGCGAAACTTAATCATGCTTCCCTCTTATCGTCGATCGGCAAATTTTCCGAAGAGAGTAAATTTGTAATAACTGGACGTTTCAACATTTGATTAATCCTAGCGTACTATCAATCATCAAATTACAATTCTACGAACCTAATCTGAGAGTACATATACTAAAAACGATGAATAAACGATCCCGCAACACGTTTAAACGAAATACGCGAAACAGATGAAACGAAACAATTAATTCTTTTCAATTACATACTTTTCACCTCTACGTGCAACAAAAAAAAAAAAAGAAAGAAACTGTTACAAAATGATTTGTAAAATTGAAACTGCAACTTAGAGTTGCTCGAAATCAACGTGCTTTTTTGCAGGAAACAACCACATGGAAGAAAAAAATTCAAAACGTGTATCTCGTACGAATGTAAAAACCCCCTATACGCCACATTATATTCGAATTTCTAGATTCCTCAGCGTTATATGACACTTCTTCCGTACAAGTGACGCGATGCATGCGCAATATATTGAACCAATGCGAACCAAAATCCCCTTTATACTCCTCGTCATCGTTTCTCACCTCCTTCAATTCCTATCACAAAACACTCACAACTAGCTGCAAATGCTTGAATTGAATGTGAAACAAAAAAAAAAAAACAACGCGACATAAAAAAAAAAAAAAAAACACTCCCCTCGTGTACAAATTTAAAAGACAGCCGCGCGTTGATTTACAAAAGAGAAAAAGAAAAAGAAAAACGAACAACTACAAATGAAATGGTCAATAGCAATAAAGATACAAATTCTTCCTACACATGTATGCGTTAGAATATATAAAAAAAAAACGATCTCAAAAGTAATATATATATAGCAAACAGACAAAAAGAACACATTGGAAACATTAACATCATAAACTTTCGTTACACATTCAATGGAAAACATCGGCTCGATATACCTCAACATCGTTACTTTTCCTTTCTATAATCTATCCTTCGATCCGTAACCCTAGGTCCTCTCAACGAAGATTTCGCGTTGTACCTATCTACCTAACTATCCGAACAGAAGGTATTCACTTGTACGCGTAATAAATTCGCGCACACTGTACACGTTGTATACTATGTTTATCGCCGACGACGATTTAATAATAATTACTATATGAAACCTGTTCGTTTGAATATTTAGATTTTACCGTTTTCTTTTTCTTCTTTCATTTTCGTTCGTTCGTTTGTTTCTTTTTTTTTTGCATTTTCATCTTTGCCGCGTGTAAAATCGTTTATATCGTATCGATGATGGTGCTGAGCATTCTTCCTTTCAATGACTAATAAGTGTTTTTTTTTTTTTTTTTTTCTCGAAATTCGTATAAAACGGATCTACCCTAGCGTACGATACACACAACCGGAACCATTACTAGCGATCGCGTGATTTGGAAGGGATAGTAGGGCCCATTTCGTTATTTCTTTTTTTTTTTCTAATCTTCACTTTCCAACTTCAGTCCTGCTTCTTTCGTGGATTTCCTAAGCACAGAGAGTGCGGTGTCTACAGAGGAAACTGTATACGATCGGTTGATTCGCTCGGTTATATCACTTTATGGCAGGTAATTCTACAAAAGAGCGTTTAACGTATTCTCGTCCTTCCTTTCTTCGTTAATTACGTGTATTCTTTTCGTTTTTATTCTCGTTATAATCTTTGCAAAATCGATTCCCAAGTTGTGCCATTTTTCTTTTCACTAAGTCAAGATACAACGGCCGAGTTCACGACACCAAGGAACGGAGCTGCGTAGTGAAGACAAAAAAAAAAATAAAGAACGAAGAAGTAACAAAGAATCTCGTTCTAGATTTCGCGAAGCGCAAATGGTCTCTCTCTCTCTTGGCGGAAAAGAATTAATATATCCACTTTGCTCTTGCTCTGACGAGACAAAAGAACAAAAAGAATAAAAAAGGAAAGAAAGAAACGGAGAGAAACAAAGGAGAGCAAAAATAAAGAAAGAAAATGGCGAGCAGCGCGTGGATCTTAAATACGATTCACGGCAGCCCGTGGACAGTCTGTGCTTTAGTCTCCCTCTCTTTTTTCCTTCCGGCGGAAAAAAGGAAATATAGTCTCCTCCGGACGTGGCACGTGATAAGCCCCTACTACCTTTTTTGGACCCTCTTCTCGCATTCGCATTGTGATTTCATTTTTTTTTCTTTTTAATCTAACATACTCTTAAACTGGACGACACACTTGGACGTGCGCACGGTAAGTAACTAATTATATAGAGTTAATTACTGCTTTCTCAATTGCCTTCTTTCTTCGCCTTTTCCTATTACTTTTTTTACCTCTGTCTCTTGTTCGAGGACAGCCCTTCCGAAAGAAGAAGCTTCTCTTCTGTGCCTTTACACCTGACTCTCACCGCGAATGCCCTTTTTTTCTTTTGTCTCACATCGTTTTTTCTCTCCTCAGGATGAACTTCTGTTTTTTCTCCTCTTCTTCTTTTTCTTTCTCTTCTTCTCCTTCCTCTTCATCTCTCTTTCGTTTCCTTTCTTCTTCCCTTCAAAACGTACCGATTGTCGTTAAAAAAAAGCCCCTTCATCAGTGTGGTTAACCCCAATTGGTCGAAGTAGCACGCGAGCGATACCACGCTCGCGATGATCACACACAACGGCGCAAGTCGAAGAGATCAATCACAGTTGGCGCGCACAAGTCTTGTTACAGAAGTTGAAATCTTCGACTTTCGCAGATTTTGTTTGTTTCTTCTTCTTCTTCTTCTTTTTCTTCTTACAACAACAGCATGAAGATTTTCTGCTCTGTGATGTGTGAAATTCCTATGTATCGTTCTTGCAACCCCGGCTCAGAGAGTACTTGACTTTGTTTCATTTTTTTTTTTTTTCGGCGATAGAACCCAGGAACCATATGGACCGTTTAAATGATCAGCCTTGGAACATGCCGAGAAAATGCAAATTCTGCGACAACGGAGACAGTAGCGTACCGACAACCGAGAAAAGGTAGAGGATAAGAGGCGGCCTTTTCAGTTTGTGTCAGTAGTGCAAACTGTCCATCTCCTTCATTTCGTTGCTACTATCGGCGTTGCTGCTGCCTGTCGTCATCATGCTACCGCCACAGTTCTGCGTATCGTACTCTAATACCAGCCGTTTGATGTGGCTCAGCTTCTCGTGTAGATAGTGAAACCGACGTTTCGTCTCCTTATGTACAGGATCCCGTTTCGTTTCGTTATACTCCTGCAGAATTTGCCGCCTGATTTCCTGCAAGATACCCAATCAAAATGTTAATTATACGTGATCTTTTACACTGGATACTTACAATCTATTGCATATTATTTCCACATAATATAGTACCTCATATTCGGCCCAGTTTCCAGAGGCTTCTTCCTGTTTCAAGCGGTCCTGAAGCTGCGTAAACCGTTTAGATACCTTTGCCACTTGAGCATGCAACCTTCGATATTCCTCGTAATCCGCATTGAATTCCGCCTTGTAACGTCTTCTCTGTTCTGCGCTGCTTATTGTCGTGTAGTATCTGCAAGTAATTTAAGCATAAGTACACCTGCATATAGTTCCTCCAGTGCTGTTCAACTTAAACTTTACAACCTATGGAATTCTCACTTGGTACTATACTACCACTCATAAGAATTTTCCCACTCATATTCTTTTACTATTACAGTCAATTGTACAGATTTTCTAGGAGACAAGTCTTAAATTTATTTGGTGTCATCTTGAAATAGAATACATTGACAAAGCATACGAGTGACTCGTTATCACTGAACATCACCGAACCCTAACTCCAACAGTTCCCAAAAATACTAACGTGAGGTAGTCCGGGTACTCCGATGATTTAGGACTCTCCGGCAACTCGAGACAGGTCGACGTGGTGACGGTGCTGTCTCCGTTGGCGGCGAAGTCGGAAGCGGTAAGGTCGTTGTACGAATTGGCTCCAGTTCCGCTGTTTCTCTTCCTCGACTCACGATCCCTATCGCCGCCGCGACTCCTGTCGTTCCTCTCGTTCCTATCGCTCCTATCTCTCCTGTCGGCTAGTACTCCGTTCGAACTACCACTGTAACTACCTGCACTACCACCCTCACTCACGGCACTCGGCATCGAACGCGCCACGTAATCCACACCTGTGCCACTGCTATTACTCCCATCGTTACCGAGCATCGCCGTCTTCCCAGTGTTATGATGATGACGGCTGCCGGTCAATGAATTACTATGGGCTACACTACTATGAGAATTATGGCCGGTGGCCGTGTTGCTGGTTCCGTTGTTCCCGATGTTACTACCGGTGCTCGCGACGATCCCGTCGCGATGACCCGTTTGGCTGATCTCTTCACTGTCACTGGTGGGCGTCAAGCACGGTTTTCCACCGTTGCCGTAGCTGCTGCCCCGTAGCACATCACTGTTCGCTGTTCTTTCGGGTCGGTAATCGCCACGGCGATCACGCTGATGCTGCCTCTGGTCCCAGCCGTCAACCACACCACCGCTGCTACCACCACTGCCACCACTAGCACTACTACCACCGGTTCCACCGGATACCACACTACTAACACTGTTATTATTATTACTACCAACACTACCAGCCGTCCTTCCGTTCTCCCCGGCATTCGACGAACCAGAATTTGGCTCCGGCTTCTTATAATGGGATATCCGCGGTCTCTTCGTCGGCAGTCCGTCGTTACCCTGATAATAACCTGGCCGCTTGCTGCTCAGCAAAGAAGGAGGCGGCGCCGTGATCGCAGGGGGTGAGCCTGGGTGAGTGGAATTCGGTGATTGCCCGCTGCCTGTAATCGTTATTCATGAAGTCAATGTATAGTAGATGAAGCAATATAACGATAGAAGGGAATACAGGGTTAACATGTTTTTTGAAGCACCCTGTCTAGCTAGGTCAAATGTTCAGGTATACATGTTTCAAGCGCCTGGGTAAAGGTATTGTCAGGTACCTCAACCCAAGGTATACCTCTGTTTTGCTACAATCTCTGGTAAGTTCATAGAATACTAAATGGGATCTCCTGGGTGTCACATTTTCTTAATTTATGGTTACGAGCTTGCTATATTTCTTTCATTGACAATGCTATTGTAGATTCTAGATTCTTGAACACTTTGACTGGTCAGGTAATTATGGGCGTGAGCGCTATTAAGCTTCTTGTTGTAAAGTAATTGTGTATGGTAATATGAAGCATTACTAATACAGGAACTATGTCAATGAAAAAATAATTACACGTAATTCTACGTTACCGAAGGTAGTAAAATCTTTTCTGATGAAGTAAAACTGTCATCTGTGAAATTATGGGTAGACATGGTAGTCAAAGAGTTAAGAAACTGAACGTATCAGTCATTGTTTTACTTCGGCAATTGAGATCTCGAGGAAAGACCTGCTGTACTATCATTTGTGTCTATCCAGCTTTGACAATTTGCCAATACTGCCACCGCTACTCTTAAACCTTCGATGAAGGTAATAACAGTATCGAGAAACCATCGGAAACTTTCGAAATGGACACCAAATTGCAGACAGACACTTTAAATTGTTTCAATAGAATAAACGTCGAATTGAAGTGTGCTTTAAGTCTGCGGAAGTGAAACGTACCGCTGGATCCACCGTCACTAGAACCAGGAGGAGTAAGATTCTGAGGTTTTCTTCTCTTCAGCATCGCCTTCTCCTGTTCGGTATAATAAGGCCAGTCTTCTTGCACATCGTTCCAGACGTACCTGTGCAGATGATACGTATTGTCCCTCATGAACGCTACCTGCTTTAGAATCACCGTCATGACGTTACGTTCTCGATCCTTGATGCCCTCTGAAAAATGAGATTTCCAATCAAAAAATTTTTCTCAAGAATTCCAGAAATATTTTTTAAAATTATACTTCTTGCTTTATGTACTCTTACCTCTGTTTATGCGATCATACAGTTCTGGCTTTTTGTATGGCCTCAAAGCAAGGAGATGGATCAGCCTCTCCCTACAGAAAAAATTTATTAATTGTAAATAAGAGATTTTTCAATTAACTTGAAAAAATTTACACATCTTACATTGATTTGTGCGTTAAGAAAATTTCTACACTTCCAGAGCCAATAATTATCCAGGATTATTTAATAAAAAATTCTACTTTCTCTATACACTGTACTTCCCCTTTTCCCCAATAGTCCTTAAAATCACACTCGATAAAATATAACAAATATATAATACTACTTCCCAACCAGTCGCAGTTCCCCGATATCCATCATGTTAAGTACAAAATACCACTTAATCCTGGTCATTACTCTGAGCGTAAAGTTCACTTCCAACAACCTTTACTCTGTTACTTTTACCGCGACACCGATTACGAGCGATTTTTTCATAATCCTCCCGTGAGATTTCTCAAAAGTACAATTCTCAGCGGTTTGCATGTCTATTTGCGTACTGTGAAGCGCAAGTTTCGCGTAATTTTTCATTAACCACCACGAATCCTATCACGACAGACCATTCTAACTGGTAAACGAGAATTTCGTGCGTTTTATTAACGTTCTCGTGGGATAGAGACGTAATAGAAGAGACAGCGGAAGAAATCGATAGTGAAAGAGTAGTAGAATGGTTGAGAAGTTTGGTTGAAAGATAGGTGAAAAGTGGACTGCGAATTTTTATGCATTTATGGAAAATTTGAGGGCACAATAATACACAGAATGCGCATATTATGCAAAAATACACAAATAAACCCAAAATATAGTACTCATTACAATATTTAGCTTCTATTTTTTAATTATATTCATAAAAATATGAATATGCACAAAAATCTTCAGTCTAGTGATAAGTAGATATAATTAATCCTCCGTAGGTAATCTAGGTCTCTAATGACCCAAGTGAAATTTCCCCTTCGAATTTTCATTTTTACTCAAAAAAGTTTCAAACATTTCCCTTAACGAACAATTGTACAATCTAGTAAAGACTTCGACAAGTACTCCAGAATTTTTTCGAACTCTTCGAAACATTGAAACAGTAAAAAAATTTAAATTACGACACAAACGACCCAATTTGCCTCCAGAGTGTGCAAAACTATGTTCGTCTACGAAAGGTTGAAGTTAGATACGTGTAACATATTGGTATAGATATAATTTAGACAGGGATAAGATAAGGAACGGACGAGTGGAAACTTCTAATTTTCTAACCACAGCCGGCAAAAATTAACAAGCACATTAACGTCCTCGTGAACCTACTTCAGCGGCCTACGCATGATGTCGGAAACCTTTTTCTCCGGTTGGCTCCTAGCTGGTGGCGGATTGTTCACCGCCGGCTTGTAAGAGGAAGACAGTCTGGGCTGACTGCCGGAAGTTGGAATGCTCGTTGATTCCCGATGCCTCGAATTCGACGGTGACGGTATGGTCCTTCCGGTTACTTTCACCTTCACCTTGCGCCCGATGTCCGGCCCGTTCGGCTTGATAACCCTGGTGCTGGTGAGAAATAAGAAAAAAGGGGAACGATAAGAGACGTAACTCGTGTACAGTCCTCTCGAGAAAACACGTTGATAACCGCTCGAACGCGTTGATCGATCGAGCGAAACAACGGTCGGAGTTTTACATTGAAATGCTAATTTGACCTAAGTTCTTCTTGCATTCTTTCTCGATCTTTCATGTATTGCTTACTCGTGAAATGTTCGATAGGGTTTCTGTTCAAGTCGAGTTAAAAGGAAGTCATTTTCCAAAGATGTCTGTGTTGCTTTTTACGAACGACGTGTCTGTCCGACGTGGACTTTTCAAGAGATAAATATCGACTTGAAAGTGGTAACTTTTTTAGAGACACAGGTACGATCTTTTTTGAATTTCTCGGGTATCGCTGTTTGTCATATGTTCGACCTTGATTTTTTGGAAGTTGCGCTAAAAAGAAGTAATTTTTTGAAGATATTATTCTTTTTATTTCTTGTGCATTCCTTATGTTTAGAAACTGAGTTAATTTTTGAGTAGTAGGTAAAGAGACGAGCTTTCTACAGCGCGAATGAACGCCGAGGTTGGGGTTGTTGAATGTTTGATACAGTAGCATTGTATCACTGCAATTTGCACCGGTTAAAAACACCGGAGAAAGGAATAGAAGCACAACTTCCTTCAACGTGAATGAATTATAACGTTCGAGATGATGGACGTTACGATGCGCTATTTTTAAGTCACTTTCGTACAATTTGCATGATTTAAGGAGTGTGTAGAGTAGCTGGTTGCGGAAAAGATTAATAGTTCCCTTGTAATGTGAATGGACTAGTTCTCCTCTGCATTAAATATTCATAACAGAAAGTGGTATATGCGAAACTATGCGAGGTCTATGGTTGTTGAGCGAATGAGAACGAAAATAATGGTCTTTAGCGCCTACGTTTCTCTACTGTCATTTTTACTCTCGGATTGCTTATAGCGTTCATCGTACGTCACCGTTCTTGACAGTTCGTAAAAACAGCTTCGAGAAGCTATCGGGCGACACAAGAACTAAATGGAATAAGTGTCGCGCGAATTGTACGACACCTATTATACCAATACACTATCTCCAAAATTTTTGTCAAATTATTTCAAAAAGCGAATCATACAATCGAGGCGTTCACACGCGCCAAAATTCTATTTCAAGAAAATCGAATTGAAAATGTTCGTTTCGTTATCTCTTTCAGTTTCATTATCTATCTTATAACAGAAACCTACGCGCCCTTTATCCCCCAATGACCTAAATAAAAAATAATAAAAATAATATTCTATTTTCAATACGACAATTTCAGAGTATTTTCACCGAATGACTAAGTTCCGCACACAGGTGCTTAAAAAGCGTGACGTTCATGACGCCTCCGAAGATAAATGTACGACCTCGTAAAACAGAAATATAGAAAAAAATATTCCTACACCTACGGGAGCCTTTTTTTTTTCGGTCACGAAAGAAGAATCAACCCCTCGCTGATAATCCCATAAGCAGCTTACAATTAGCCGGACATAAAATAATAAAATGGCTAAACCCTCTGGTAACACCCCTCCATAAATCCACGTAACAACCAGTAACACCCAGCTCCGCTTAAACGAGAAACAAACCATTATCCGTCCTCTATGCTCCCCAAGAATCACGTCAAACCCACCGAACAGCCCCTGTCGCCTCTCCACCGGCGACACCCGAACGCCAACCGGGTGTCTCTGACGTCGGTTATCGAGGTTTTCTGGTTCACGCGAGCCCGGGTTTCCGGAAGGACGCGACGTCTCTCTAATCCGGCGGAGAATCGTGTAATTTATTAATTGTAAATAAGAGATTTTTTCAATTAACTTGAAAAAATTTACACATCTTACATTGATTTGTGCGTTAAGAAAATTTCTACACTTCCAGAGCCAATAATTATCCAGGACTATTTAATAAAAAATTCTACTTTCTCTATACACTGTACTTCCCCTTTTCCCCAATAGTTCTTAAAATCACACTCGATAAAATATAACAAGTATATAATACTACTTCCCAACCAGTCGTAGTTCCCCGATATCCATCATGTTAAGTACAAAATACCACTTAATCCTGGTCATTACTCTGAGCGTAAAGTTCACTTCCAACAACCTTTACTCTGTTACTTTTACCGCGACACCGATTACGAGCGATTTTTTCATAATCCTCCCGTGAGATTTCTCAAAAGTACAATTCTCAGCGGTTTGCATGTCTATTTGCGTACTGTGAAGCGCAAGTTTCGCGTAATTTTTCATTAACCACCACGAATCCTATCACGACAGACCATTCTAACTGGTAAACGAGAATTTCGTGCGTTTTATTAACGTTCTCGTGGGATAGAGACGTAATAGAAGAGACAGCGGAAGAAATCGATAGTGAAAGAGTAGTAGAATGGTTGAGAAGTTTGGTTGAAAGATAGGTGAAAAGTGGACTGCGAATTTTTATGCATTTATGGAAAATTTGAGGGCACAATAATACACAGAATGCGCATATTATGCAAAAATACACAAATAAACCCAAAATATAGTACTCATTACAATATTTAGCTTCTATTTTTTAATTATATTCATAAAAATATGAATATGCACAAAAATCTTCAGTCTAGTGATAAGTAGATATAATTAATCCTCCGTAGGTAATCTAGGTCTCTAATGACCCAAGTGAAATTTCCCCTTCGAATTTTCATTTTTACTCAAAAAAGTTTCAAACATTTCCCTTAACGAACAATTGTACAATCTAGTAAAGACTTCGACAAGTACTCCAGAATTTTTTCGAACTCTTCGAAACATTGAAACAGTAAAAAAATTTAAATTACGACACAAACGACCCAATTTGCCTCCAGAGTGTGCAAAACTATGTTCGTCTACGAAAGGTTGAAGTTAGATACGTGTAACATATTGGTATAGATATAATTTAGACAGGGATAAGATAAGGAACGGACGAGTGGAAACTTCTAATTTTCTAACCACAGCCGGCAAAAATTAACAAGCACATTAACGTCCTCGTGAACCTACTTCAGCGGCCTACGCATGATGTCGGAAACCTTTTTCTCCGGTTGGCTCCTAGCTGGTGGCGGATTGTTCACCGCCGGCTTGTAAGAGGAAGACAGTCTGGGCTGACTGCCGGAAGTTGGAATGCTCGTTGATTCCCGATGCCTCGAATTCGACGGTGACGGTATGGTCCTTCCGGTTACTTTCACCTTCACCTTGCGCCCGATGTCCGGCCCGTTCGGCTTGATAACCCTGGTGCTGGTGAGAAATAAGAAAAAAGGGGAACGATAAGAGACGTAACTCGTGTACAGTCCTCTCGAGAAAACACGTTGATAACCGCTCGAACGCGTTGATCGATCGAGCGAAACAACGGTCGGAGTTTTACATTGAAATGCTAATTTGACCTAAGTTCTTCTTGCATTCTTTCTCGATCTTTCATGTATTGCTTACTCGTGAAATGTTCGATAGGGTTTCTGTTCAAGTCGAGTTAAAAGGAAGTCATTTTCCAAAGATGTCTGTGTTGCTTTTTACGAACGACGTGTCTGTCCGACGTGGACTTTTCAAGAGATAAATATCGACTTGAAAGTGGTAACTTTTTTAGAGACACAGGTACGATCTTTTTTGAATTTCTCGGGTATCGCTGTTTGTCATATGTTCGACCTTGATTTTTTGGAAGTTGCGCTAAAAAGAAGTAATTTTTTGAAGATATTATTCTTTTTATTTCTTGTGCATTCCTTATGTTTAGAAACTGAGTTAATTTTTGAGTAGTAGGTAAAGAGACGAGCTTTCTACAGCGCGAATGAACGCCGAGGTTGGGGTTGTTGAATGTTTGATACAGTAGCATTGTATCACTGCAATTTGCACCGGTTAAAAACACCGGAGAAAGGAATAGAAGCACAACTTCCTTCAACGTGAATGAATTATAACGTTCGAGATGATGGACGTTACGATGCGCTATTTTTAAGTCACTTTCGTACAATTTGCATGATTTAAGGAGTGTGTAGAGTAGCTGGTTGCGGAAAAGATTAATAGTTCCCTTGTAATGTGAATGGACTAGTTCTCCTCTGCATTAAATATTCATAACAGAAAGTGGTATATGCGAAACTATGCGAGGTCTATGGTTGTTGAGCGAATGAGAACGAAAATAATGGTCTTTAGCGCCTACGTTTCTCTACTGTCATTTTTACTCTCGGATTGCTTATAGCGTTCATCGTACGTCACCGTTCTTGACAGTTCGTAAAAACAGCTTCGAGAAGCTATCGGGCGACACAAGAACTAAATGGAATAAGTGTCGCGCGAATTGTACGACACCTATTATACCAATACACTATCTCCAAAATTTTTGTCAAATTATTTCAAAAAGCGAATCATACAATCGAGGCGTTCACACGCGCCAAAATTCTATTTCAAGAAAATCGAATTGAAAATGTTCGTTTCGTTATCTCTTTCAGTTTCATTATCTATCTTATAACAGAAACCTACGCGCCCTTTATCCCCCAATGACCTAAATAAAAAATAATAAAAATAATATTCTATTTTCAATACGACAATTTCAGAGTATTTTCACCGAATGACTAAGTTCCGCACACAGGTGCTTAAAAAGCGTGACGTTCATGACGCCTCCGAAGATAAATGTACGACCTCGTAAAACAGAAATATAGAAAAAAATATTCCTACACCTACGGGAGCCTTTTTTTTTTCGGTCACGAAAGAAGAATCAACCCCTCGCTGATAATCCCATAAGCAGCTTACAATTAGCCGGACATAAAATAATAAAATGGCTAAACCCTCTGGTAACACCCCTCCATAAATCCACGTAACAACCAGTAACACCCAGCTCCGCTTAAACGAGAAACAAACCATTATCCGTCCTCTATGCTCCCCAAGAATCACGTCAAACCCACCGAACAGCCCCTGTCGCCTCTCCACCGGCGACACCCGAACGCCAACCGGGTGTCTCTGACGTCGGTTATCGAGGTTTTCTGGTTCACGCGAGCCCGGGTTTCCGGAAGGACGCGACGTCTCTCTAATCCGGCGGAGAATCGTGTTTCCACGACGAAAGTGATTAATCGATCTTCTCCCTCCATTCGTTTTTGACGCAAGCAATACGGCCAACCGGGGCGAAACCCATTATCGCTTTTGTTGTTACACATGTGGTTACGTAACCGTGGTACGGGGGGTATCGGTCTCGATAGCCCGTCGGGTTTTACAGGTGACCTAAGTCCGGTCTAACGCGCTAACCCTACCGCGTACACACGTGTGCCTCGCCAATGGAATTTCACGGCATTATCGGGGCTGCTGCTCGTTTTTCATACTCTATATACAACCACGTGAAAATCCGGCTTGTTACGTAATCCCCCTCCCGGCATGAACTATGCCGCCGCCGATAATGCGTCCCGTTTTGCGGCGCAAAAAACAACCAAGAGGCAAAAGGGTTCGGGACGAAGTCTGCACTTGTGAGGCACTCTTGGCCTTGACCGTCACGCTGTTAAACAAATTAGCTGACCTGTAGTCTCTCGCACTGATGTTCGATCGTTATCGAGCTGTTTTTTTTTTTCGGTTTTGGGCGTAGTTCTTGGGGTATACGGGACCGTTTTTACTTAGAGGTCTTTTTGGGTGAGAAAGTTTGTTTGTTGGACTTGATGGAAATTTTTTGGGACTGTCGTGGTTAATCATTTGGCTTGTGACAATGAGTCAGACTCGTGGCACAGATTTTGGTCGAGATGCGACAAAGACATTGTTATATTAGTAACAGAGATTCATTTTAATTTATAAAACTGAGGATTGACAAGTGTAATTCATCTATGATACGTTAGGTTTTCTTACCTAATGGAGTACTAAAACGCTTAGATGCATAGATAGCAAGAAAAATCATAAGTCAAGGGGCTGATAAGAGGGATGAAGAATTTTTTGGATATTGAAAGTAGTGGTTTGGTGGTTTGATTGAAAGTTTATTAATATGTGCGTTTGGTATAAAAGTATCTATCTTTTGGAAAATTTTCAACGTTTCT